AAAAGCCTGATTTGAGATACTGCAGGAGATCTGATTCCAGCATACGACCTGTTGGATGTCAAGCACTTACAGACACAGTCAGTTCACAGCTGAGATCTGGAGCTGGGTTTAAGTTGTGATGCTGGTTGGAAAGCTCTGGATGTCTCCATCCCAATTTCACAGTCCAAGCAGGACTATCATCACTAGACCAGGTTGGCCTTGGCATATCCCAGCCAAGGCATGAAGACATCCATGGATGAAGAAGAATCCACCTTGCTTATGACCTGAAAGTATGTGCAATAGCCAGGGGACCCTCATCTAGGAGGTTTTTTCTGCTCCTTAAGGCTTTAAAAATGATCTTCCCTGTAAATAAAGGAGTCTGGGTGGAGAGAGGAGGCAGGCTCTTGCTCGCATCAGGATGTCCTGAACTGAGAAGTTCCTCCCAGAGCTTTTAAGGGAGAAATCCCGATGCTCCCATTTCCATCCCTACCTCCACCTCTCCACGTGCCCGAGCACACCGGTGCCTTTTGCCCACCATTCCCCAGGGAAAGTCCCAGGCCAGTGACGTTCCTTCAGACCTCACTGCAGCTGACCTTTTGCTCCTTCTCTGATCGGTGCAGAAATCACTCAACCAGTTCTGCAGCTGCAGTCCAGGGACCTCAAAGAGCTTTGAGATCTTGAAATGAAATGTCTCTAAGAGAAGTGAAATCACCCTGCCACGAGAGCTGCTCAGAGCATGCCACTTCTGCAAGAAAAAAGAAAAAGAAAACAAAAGGATTGGAGGAACAAAGAGTTTGGTGTTTTCATATTTTTCCTTTCCTCAAGAGGAAGAAGGCTTTGGGGAAAAAAAAAAAAAAAACAGAAAAAGCCCCAGTATTTTTATTTCTGAAAACTGAATTCTAGTTTATTCAAGGGAAGGAGAGTGCACTGGAAAAAAAACCAAAAAAACAAAAAAAAAGAAAACAAAACCCTCCAAAAAATCCCCAAACCCCAAAACTTTTCCACAGAAATTCTCAAACTGGATAATTTTTCTGCAGAAGAATAAAACTCAACAGGAGTCCCTGGGCTCCTATTTGACAGCAGCCAGTCCAAGGGAATAGAGAAAGAGGATCTGCTTCTTACCCATTTTCTTTTGGTTGGTTGTTTTTTTTTTTTTTTTTTTTTTTTTTTTGTTTTTGTTTTGTTTTGTTTTGTTCTTGTTTTGCTTTTTTTTTTTAAGCTACAGGTGCTTCTTTTGCTGTGGCTCCCACCCAAAGCCGCAACCCCCCCCTAACTTTAACCTGCTCTGCATGCTGCTAAACATCTGCAGCCTCGGGACTTGTGCTGGAGATCCATCACCTTCTTGGTACGGGCACTGTGGTCATGAACAGCTTCAGCCTGGTGGGGAAAGGGAGGTTTGGAGAGGGGCTGCTGCCCCGGTGTGAGCTGCTGGAGCGGGGAAAGTCAGAGCAGACTTTCCTCCCACTGAGGGACGTGTATGAAATGGGGGAGCTGGTGGTGCCATCCCTGAGATGGGGGAGCCTCTGATGTCTGGGGGTGCTGCCTGGGGGCTGCTGTGTTTCTCTTGGCTGTTTCGGGACAAAGACTGGTATTGCTGTTGTGGCCCCATGGGTGAAACTGGAGTCGCATGCTCTGAATTTTGCTGGATAGAGGGCTGGGCACAAGCCATCTACTATGGCTCAACGGGGAAAACCTCATCCACAATTTGTCACCCAGAAGGGTGATGGGGATCTGGGAGTGAGGAACACTGTGCGTGCCCTCAACGTGAGCCACGTGCAGTAATAGTCCTCCCCGCTGTTGAATTGAGGGACAAAGGGGCAAGGATGTAACCGGCTTCAAGAGTCCTTTGAGGGATGTAATTTTGGGCCCGGGTGGACATTCAAAGCTTCTTCCCCCAGGCAGAAGGAGGCCAGTCCATCATAGCTACGTAGGGAAGGCTTTTGAGGTGGGTATGTAATACCAGTCTGGAGGTCACCCTATTTGATGGGCTCTGTAGAGCACTCGTATTTGAGCCTGACTTCAGTCTCCAGCTCCCGACTGGTTTCTTCTTCACCCTGTGGCTCCACACAGTTTGAGGCTCCAGACTTGCCCCAGATGGGTGAGCTGGACCTCATGCTCTCAGTCGAACTTTCCAGGTTCCCTTCTCCCAGGCAGCCCTTTTATGAGGCTCCTGTTGTTTCTGGATGGCTGATGAGGGAGGAGAAAATACTTCTTGGCGTTTCATCACCTCTGCTCCTGGCTGGGCCCAGCTTAACAGTGACTGAGCCAAGGATCACGGCAACTTTCAACTCATCTCAGGGTGCTACGTGGGAGAGAGAAGATCGGGCAGGGGTTGAGATAGGAGCTACCTGTCCCACCAAAAGGTCATCCAAAACCTGCTGTCAGAGATGCTCTGATGGATAACCTGGTCCCCATTAGCTACCTAGGGTTCCTGTGTGACGAGCCATGCAGCCAGACGTGTCTTGGAAAGGAAATCTCTTGCAAATTGTGCTGATAACAATGATCTTGTCTGATTTAAACGGCAATTAAGAACCCATCAGTAGATCCATGGTTCTCCAGCCAGAGTCTGCCATGATGGGGAACAGGGACCACCACCTGGAGGCACCACAGATGATTGGGTCCGGGTGCACAGGCTGACCACGGTTTCCCAAAAAGCACAGAGATGGATAAAATCCCCTAAAGAGATGAGATCAGGTCTTGGTGGTTCTGTCCCATGGGGACAGGGAAACACGATGGCCTGGGTGCAGCTGGCTGCACAGGAGCCCCTCCACAATGGGGTCCTGGCTGCGAACGGGGGGGGGGTGTCTGTGTTGGCTCTCAGAGGCAGTGGAGGGGCTTTGGTGGAGGTGAGGTTGGTGGGTAGAGAGGTTTATGTCTCAGTGACTGGAGACCTGGGTTAGAGATGGGAGTTCAGGGTTCAAAAGTTTATGACTTGCCTGAGAGTGCCAGGAGCACGGGTTATCCTGGAGTTTCCAGCATTCTCCAAAGCCTCTTCCATCATGATTTATTCATCTGTGGGAAGTGCTAAGACATAACACAACTCCCAAAGGGAGAATGAGTACAGCCTTAACCAGCTGTAATGTCAGGAAACTGCCTGTCTCCTGCAAGATCTGCTGAGCCTGGGTAAGCTGCAGCTTCACACCGGGCTCCTTTGCTCGGGCAGCTTCACTAAATCCCACTGGTGGGAAGGGTCCATGTCCTGATGAAGCTCCTGGGTCAGCCCTGGTTATTGCAAGAGTGGTCCCTGGGATGAAAAGGGCTTGCTGTATGTGTGGCTATTTCCACGGTGCATGCCATGCATCCTGCTGCTGGGAATCTCTTCTAGCAATGTATAAACCAGTCTGTTCCTTGGAAGTCTTTGCTTCTGAAGTCAAAGGGCAAAATTAAGAGCTTCGAGTCTCTGCAGGAATCCATTTTGATGTAATTTACTCCTTCCCCGTGCACCCCAGCAGTGCATTTTGCTGTAGTCTAAATGCATGCATAACCCATATTTGATTATTGTTATCATTATTGCTATTTTACTGTTCTTGCTGCTATTAGCCCACCGATGACAAAGCTATGGTTGCGAGGCTGCAACCGGCAGCTCCTCTCATACGCAGACATCCTGCCAACAGAAAATTCACTTGAACAAATAAGTCTAAATTAGTGGCAGTTTTGTGTAGCTTTATTTCTCTCGCTGCACTCCCTTCACAACTGCAAATAATCCAATGTAAGTGCTGAGGCCGGCCGGCCCCCGATGAGAAGCCTGATTGCTCTCCTGCCGCAGCGCTGGCAGCCAGGGAGGAAGGAGAAGGAGCTCTGGACCATCCTGTATCACCAGGGCTCTGCTCTGAAAGATGAGGGGGTTTGGATGGCAAAGAAGCGATGGCAAAGGAGGGAGGGCAGGGTCCAGGTCCGGCTTCTAGGGTGATGGGCATCATCTCATTTGTCCCAATGGGCTGAAACCAGCCAGAAAATGCAAAAGTTAGGGAAGGACAGATGGACCATTTAATGCTCACTTCCTCGACTGCAATAACCAGGGGAGAAAATGACTGCCCTTTTCCATTTTGTCTGTGCAGAAATGTGTTGATGGGTTACAGCAGGACTGAATCCCTCTGTAACTTTTTTTTTGTGTGGTTGTTTCATATGAGCACAGCTTTATCGGGGAGTTTGAGGTGGGGATGGGGCAGTGTTGGCACATAAGGAAAACGTGGCGTTTCTGGGCATCAGACTGCCTCTCTCGTGTGCTTTGGTGAGATTTAGGATATCAATTAACCCAAACTACCTCAAAAAGAAAAGCTGAGGCTGTTTCAAAGTTACTGGGCTGAACTTGTGCTCTCTGCCCCTCTCACCATGGAGAACGGGATCTTGGTTCAGCCCTGCAGCTGGGAAACATCCCCATCAGGATGGGAAAGTTGAGGAAAAGGGTCCGGGACAACCCCAAAATATGTATTTGAGTGAAAACAAGCCACTGGGTCCCAAAATTTCCATTTGAAAAACTCCCAGTTGTAGGACCCCCAAATCCCCATTTGAGCAGAAACAGTCAGACCCCCAAATCCCTATTTGTGCAAAACCAAGCCATCCAGCCCCAAAATCCTCATTTGAAAAAACAAAAACCAGGCAGCCAGACCCCAGATCCCTATTTGAAAAATACCAAGCAGTTGGAAAAAAAAGAAACAGGCAGTCAGACCCCAAATTCCTATTTGAAAAAAAAAAAACAAACAGGAAGTTGGAACCCAAAATCCCCATTAAAAAAAAAAAAAACAAAAAAAAAAAACAAAACCAAAAACAAACAGGCAGTCAGACTCCAGATCCCTATTTGAAAAAAAAAAGCACAGATTGTTGGACCCCAAAATCTCCATTTGAGCAAAAACAAGTCCTCAGACTCCAAAATCCTTTATCTGAGCAAAACCAAGCCGTCAGACCCCAAAATTCCCATTTGAAGAAAACCAAGCAGTCGGGCCCCAAAATCCTCATTTGAGAAAAAACAAGCCATCAAACCCCCAAATCCCCATTTGAGCAAAACGGAGCCGTCGGCCCCCGAAGTCCCCATTTGAGGATGCGGGGCTCATCTCCGCGTCGATGGGCACAAAGAGTTAAGATCCCACGGGCCAGCGGTGGCCAATCACACCGAGCAAAGTGCAGCCCTTGGCCCCAGCCCAGCAGCAGGTTGCTCTCTGCAGGTATTATTTTGTTTGGTTTTCTTTTTTTTTTTTTTTTTTCTCCCGGGGTACCAAGCAGAGAGACGATGAACCTCGAGACCCGCAGAGGACAGGGTGTGGGAGGATGCACCCCCGGGCTCCCCAGGTAAATCCCGGGGGGTGCTGGCTTTTGGGGGGCTCTTTCCTTTCCTCTCCTTCCCCCTCTCGCTGGGTGTCTTTGTTTGAGCCCAGAAAGGGGCCAGGCAGGGGAACGAAAGCTTTGCGGTGGATTTTTGGTGGGGCTGAGCTGGTGGGACGCGCTGCAGGTGCTTTTTTGGGGTGGGATGTACCCGCTGGGCTGCATTTGCGCTTGGGGGGTCGGAGCAGAGATGGGGAGCGCAGAGGTGGATTGCTCAGGGTGGCAAGAGCTGCTACTTCCTCTCCCCCTCCCCTCTTATAAACTCATCCTGGATCCAGCTGGCATCCACCAGCACCAGGACCTTGCACCCCAGTGGGTTTGGGGGCACCACTCTGGTTAATGGCACTAACACTGGTGGTGGGGACAAGCCACCATGGGGGCTTCCCCTGAGCACGGTGTCCGGGGAGGAGCGAGCGCTTCCCGGGCTGGCTCCTCGCCCTTGAAATTCCTCAAGGCAAGTTAATGATAAATCACAGCCGGGTGGGTGGCGTGGGTGGCGGGTGAGAGCCGGGTCCCCCTTGTTGTCCTTCCTGCTGGGACAGAGGTTCGGGCAAGGTGTGGGGACGGCAGAGCCAGGCAGGGATCGTGGGGGCGGCTGCTTGGCACCTCTCCGGGGGTGGTGGCTCACCCCGAAGGGTAGGAGCAGACCTCCCCCTGGCAACACACAGGCCAGGGCAGGGGCTGAAATTGTGCAGAGTGGGGGGATCTGGTGACAAGGAGTGTGTGTGTGTGTGGGGGGGGGGTCCTCCCGCTCCCACCGCGAGGCATTTGGGGCCAAGGGGTGGGTCTGTAGCAAGGGATCATGGTGGAATCCCCGAGATTTGGGATGTGGGGCCAGCTGAGGATGCTCAGGCAGACGCTGGGGTGCCAGGCAAGGGACGTAGCTCCCCGCTCGGGGATTTGCAGGGGACAGCAGCGCTGAGCCCACACGCTGCAATGGGCCAGGAGCAAACCTGTACCCCCTCCTCCCCAGCCCCCCCCCCCCCCCAGTGACAACCCGCATCAGGCAGCACCACAGGCTCAACTGGCAGCAGCTCATCTCCAGTCACCTCGCCCAGGAGGGAGCCCCTTATTAAGGGGAAATTGAGGCACGCAGGGCTGGGATGACTTCACGTGGCCCAGCCTGCGGCACGGAGCACCCCAGACCCTCAGCCCCACAGCCAGCACTGAGGCTGCTCCATCAAACCACCATTTCCCTCTACTGAGTGAATTCAGGGAGTTTTCCTTGTGTCCCCAAAGTCAGTGTTTTCCGGGCAGCAGCTGTCATCGGGACTTCACTGGGGGACGATGACCAGCCTACGGTCGGTGCTGAGCATCTTCTGGGGACAGCCACGGGGGTGGGTGGGCACCGATGAGAGCATGTCCGAACCCTTCCTACAGACACACAGGATTTGGGTTGGCAGTTTGGGCTGGGCTTGAAACCAGCCCGTCCCGCTGGCACTCTCTGCTCCTTGGGATGATGGGGACAGATATGCCGTGGAATGGAAAATCCCTCCTATCTGCCCTCAGGTGCACACTGGAAGGTGCCAGCCTGGGTCCAAAGCCAGGGCTCTGAGAGCAGCCTGGGGAAAGGGTGAAAAATGCCCCTGAGGATGAGGACTCTGCCAGTGGCACGACCCCCTTGCCCTGTCCAAAACCTCCATCCTCCGTGGCAAGATAATTCATGGTGGAAGGGACCTCAGGGGGTCTCCAGGCCACCTTGTCACTCAAGGCAGGCTCAGCTATGAGGCCAGACCCTGCTCGGTCCATTCAGGGCTTGAAAAACTCCAAGGACATAGACTACAAAACCTTCCTGGGACCCCGTACAAATCGCAGAGCACCACGTTACACCTCCACGTCACCCACTGAGGTTTCTCTGGGGCTTTGCCCACCTTGCTGCCGCCTCCGGAGTGATCTTGATTTCTTTCCTTACTGGAGCAGCTCTGGACCAGCGCAGCCCACTTGGCCTTTTATTCCACACCTCTGTCATCTCTTTTGGATCCAGAAAATCCTGTGGATTAATACTGGGAACACTCTGAGATGAGGAGCCGTGGTGGGATCGGTCTTGGGACAGGCAGCGTAGCTTGTTCTGGATGAGCAATAGTAAAGCCTAGACTGATTTATTGATTTTTTTTTTTGCTGTTGATAAGGGGTTTGCAGGTAGCTGCCGGGCTCTCCAAGCCTAGTCCTTGCAGAGGGATGCTCTGGGGCACCAGCACAAGCCCCTGGTGCTCTTCATCACCCTCATCACCGTCGCTCCTCTTGGGGAGGAGCACGGCTGCTGCAGCAAAGCACAGTGAATGCAGACAGGGGCTCCCGTGTCACTGCGTGTGACAGAGGCACAGCCCAGGTGTAGCACATGCGTGGGGGGGGTGGCCATTCCAGGAGCACCCCCAGGAGCGGAGAGGGAAGGAGGACAAGCGGGAGGCCGCGGAGCCGAGGCCATATGCTCCGTGGTGGAGGTTTCGGCCGTGCTTTGCCATGATTCCTCCTCCTGCCACTTCCTGGGGGACAGAGATGGGGAGGGGCGGCAGTGGAGCGTGTCGCTTAAACACAGCAACCAACTGAGGAGGAAAACTGATAGCAAACCGAGAGGATTAGCCAGAGAAGGTGGAGCAGGCTGCACTATTCAGGCTTTGTCGGGGGAGAACAATGGGGCCTTTATTGAGGAAGGGAGGTGGCGGGTTGGCAGGCTGGCGGGGACATTTTGGTACTCGGAGTGTCCCTTGGCCAGCTGGGGGGACACGGCACTGGGATGTGGGATGGGACAGTTTGGTACCCAGTGTCCCCTAGCCAGCCGTGGAGGACAGGGAACTGGGACGTGGGATGGGACAGGTTGGTACCCAGTGTGTCCTTTGGCCAGCTGGGAGGACAGGGAAATGGGACACAGGACATGGGATGGGACAATCTGGTACCCAAAGTGTTCTTTGGCCAGCTGGGGGGATTGGAAACTGGGATAGGACAGTTTCATCCCCAGCATGTCCCTTGGCCAGGAAGTGAGACAAGGAACAGGGACACGGGATGGGACAGGTTGGTACCCAACACATCTTTGAGTGGTGGGGCTTGTCCCAAAGAGTCACCGCAAGCCCCACGTGTGCTGACCACCTCAGGGCTCTCCCCGCCGCCTGCACACGGGGTCTCAACCCACAGCCACCTCCCCCAAATCCTTCGGCAACAGGAATCACGCCGGGTGGTTTATTGGTTTATGAGAGAGCATCGGGCTGGTTCTGGGGACCCCGGGAACCCTCGCAGCTGAGAGCGAGGAGCATCCCGTGCTGGGGACTTCCCAGACCAAGTGCTGCCACCCGACCCAGACCCTGGCAGAGGGACCTTGGGGATGAAGAAAGCCATCATCCCACAGGCTCTCCCTCAGTAGTGCAATGAGGGCTCTCCCAAAGAGCCGCCTGGGTCTTTTCATCTCGTCTCTTTTGTTTCAGGCTTATTATGTAAATAGCTGATGCGCCCCCGTAATGAAAAAGTAGCTTCCCAGAATACAAAAGGCTGTAATTATCTCATTAGCAGGCGGAAAGGGAAAGGAAATGTTTCTAAGCCACTTGCTTTTATTTCCCACAGCAGCCCAAGAAAGCGCAGCCCCCAAAACGGGGACCTGCCTGCCCCGAATCCTGCCACCCCCACTCTATGCTGCTACATTTGCAGGAAAGAAAAGCAAAGTGTGGTCCTCACGTCTCAGAAATAACCATGTACTGAGGGGGGGGGGGCTGGGGGCTGACAGCTTTTAACTGGGCCCAGTTATTCTGAGGATGCTATGGGTCCCTGTGCGGACCCCCTAGTGCTCTCAGCTGCTGGGACAGGAGGTGTCATTGGAAAGTGGGAGGTCATAGAGGGACAGGATGGGTCCCATCTTCCTGAACTGGATGCTCCTTGGAAAGACTCCCAAGCCGGGATCGTGGCACAGAGCTTCAGGATGGATTTCCGCGGCTGCATGCCTGCAACAGGATAGGGTAGGAAATAGCCTTAGGACACATGGAGGTTGGTCCCAGAAGGCATCTAGGATGACTTTGGAGTTGCTTTGCTTTCGGAATTCATGACTTCCTTGCTACCAGCTAAACGCCCAACATTCAGGGGCAGAGCTACAAAGGTCCCTGCAAATCACCCTGGGATGCAGTCAGGAGCTGGTCCTTGCTGAGGTCTCCAAAAACCCTTTTCTGGTGGCTTGTTCCCGTACAAGCTCTCCGTTCCTCTACCCTGATCGTGGCCCTGTGTCCTCAGCGAGCTGGCTGGAAGCTGTTGACGTAGCAGCAAACCCCTTGCTGGTTTGGGTTGACTTTCTGCCAGGTTTGTGAGCTGGATCAGGCCATGGAGAGAGCTGATGAGCAGCAGATCCTGATGGGATCCCTCCTGCAGCAGGGACTCGATGGAAAGCTGGTTACAGGCCACAATTCCTACAGTTCCCCAGGGAGTTTGTCTGACTCTAAGGGAAAAACTGCAGGGCTCTCTCAAACCACAGGGTACTGGGGAGAGAAAACAACTTTCCACACGATTTCACATGCAAAGCCAGCACCAAAGATTAAGCATCATGTAGCTCCTAATCAACACCTCCCCGCAAGCCCTGAGAAGAGACACAGGACAGCCAAGCAGCACTGATGTACCCCGCTGGAGAATGGCCCTAGCAAATCAGCCCTTCCAAATATTAACATTAGCATTAACAAAAGCAAATATTTAATGCCCCGAGCAGGACTGGTGTATTCACTACACACCACCACCCTGCTCATCACAGCCAGGAGCCTTTTTCAAACTCTCCTTAAAATGTAACGATAGGACTTGGGACAGCCTGGATGTGTCTCACAGCACAGATTTGCAGTGACTTGGTCCAACAGCCCTAGACCCTTCATGCTGCAAAAGGGGCCAAGGCTCAAAGCGCAGCTCAGCTGAGCCCTAGGAGGTGCAGGGCAATGTCCTGCTCGAGTTTGGAGTCTGCCCGTGCACCGAGGGCTTGTCCATCTCTTTGTAGCCCAGCAGCAATCATA